ATTGCAATTGGTCGCCTCAAGTTTATCATATTTGTGAATCTTTGGTGCAAAAAAATCAGCCTATCTTATATTGGCTCAAAAATGATGAAGACAATAAACCAAGGCGGTCTTTTGTTAAAGAAGAGCTTCAAATCATAATGGATGTGCAATTACCTCCTCAATGGATACTTAATAATTAGATTTTAAACATTAAGATAGATAATACAAAGTTTTCTCTAAAAAAATGCTTCACAAATTGTCATTAATTGATGCTCAAAATATTGCTTTAGAAAAAGGTGGACAATGTCTTTCTGAATATTATATCAATAATAAAAGTTCTTTACATTGGAAATGTGCCAAGTTTCATGAATAGAAGTCTGCTTTATGTGATATAAAAAGAGGTAGATGGTGTCCACATTGTGCAAAATGTTTTAAACTTAATATTGGTATTGCTAAAGAAATTGCATTTAATAAAGGTGGTATTTGTCTTTCTGAAAAATATATAAATAGCTATACATCACTTTTCTGGCAGTGCGCAAAAAAATATAAATGGCAAGCTTCTTTAGAAAAAATAAGAAATCATAATTCTTGGTATCCTAAATGTGTAGTAGATACTCGAAGAGTTGGTTTAGATTTAGCTAAAAATATAGCTCAATCTAAGAATGGTGAATGTTTATCAGATGAGTATATTAATATTCATACTCTATTGCAATGGAGATGCCATCAAGGACATATTTGGCATGCAGTATTAAATTCAATAAAAAATCAAAATTCATAGTGTCCTCAAAGTGCAGGATGTTCTAAACTTGATATTAATATTGCTAAAGAAATTGCTTTTAAAAAAGATGGAAAATGTTTGTCTAAAAAATATGCTAATATTACATCTCCGCTTTTATGAGAATGTAATAAAAGACATTAATGGAGTTCAAGTCTTAGTTGTGTAAGAAATTTAGATACATGGTGCCCATATTGTGCAGGTAATACAAAACTCTCTATTGGGAAAGCTAGAAAAATTGCGACCAAAAATAAAGGATTATGTTTTTCTGAAATATATAATAGTGCATATACAAAATTAAAATGGCAGTGTGAAAAAAAGCATGAATAGTATGCAACTCTAAATAGTGTAAAAAATGCAAATACATGGTGTCCATTTTGTTCATGGAAGAGACAAGAACTCTGCAAGAAAATAGCAACGAAATTATTAGGCCCACTATCTAATATTCGTAGACCGGATTTCTTAAAAACACCTAATCATCCATTAGGACTTGAGCTTGATATATACTATCCACAATATAGTTTTGCTATTGAAGTTCAAGGTATACAACATGAATGTTTTCATATATTTCTTTATAAAAATCAAAAAGATTTTGAAAAGCAGTTTGCACAAGATCAGCTAAAAAAAGAACTTTGCAATAAAAATCAAATAGTACTTATTGAAATATGGTATTATGAAGACCTGTATATAGTAATTTCTCAACAACTTCAAAAATTAGGTCTTATTCTTTAACTAATACTATTAGAATTACCTCCTCAATAGGTACTTGCAAGTTGAAAATACTCATAGAATAGTGGAGCTAGTGTCTAAAGACACATATTTCAAGTTGATTTTGTTATTAATTTTCTGATAGAAATTTATCTATATTATCAATTTCATTATTATCAAGGAAGTTACTAATTTCACTTCGAATTTTAGTTAAATCTTTGAAATTTGGTTTTGCTAACTTGTAATATAAAAGATTAAGATCTTCAATAGCTTTTAATAGTCTAGGTTCGAATCTATACCATTGTTTATATTGTTCCTTCATTTCCATATATTTTTCTTTATTTGGAAATCTATTTTTTGCGTATTCTACTATATATTCATCTGGTTTTTCAGTATTAAATAAATTCCTGTATTGCTTTTTATAGCCTTGCATAAATTTTCCATCTCTAGGTTTTCCACAATAATCTGCTACTATAACTATCTCTTTGATAGCTTTAGCAATATCTTGCCATTTTGGCATTAATTGATTTTCAGTTGAGGATTTGACCTCATTGGATAATTGATCGATATTTTTATTAGTAGAAGACATTTGAATATATAATATGTTTTGATTAACTAAAGTTTTGTATATGGGTGCTGGTATTCCGTTGTTTGTATTAATATAGCAGATTTTTTGTTCAATTTGAAAATTCATATATACTAGATATATACCATGCTAGGTGATTATACTTGTGATTATTTACTCAGAACTGGAGACATCTGTAGGCGTACTTGTCATCGGCCTGAAGGGTGCCATGAACATTGGAAGGCTAGAAAGCGTTTTCCTTGCAAGGTTTGTAATATACCAACTAGCTCTAAGCCAGGCCTTTGCAGAAAGCATGCTAGTGGATATTATGTAACCCAGTATATTAATAGGCTTCGGGAAAAGGCTCAAGACTTATGTTATTAGATATATACACTTGAGTGACGAGAAATTTATTTTTTAGTCGTCATCTAGTTTGATTATAAAATATAAAAATAGAGTGTTCTAGCTATGAAAAAAATTACACCAAGCTAAATAGTATAAAATAGATATAAAATATAGCAGGATGACGATTAAAGGACTTTTAAAGCAATAGTCATATAGCGGTGTAAAAAAAGTAGCCCAGAACTCCTATTTTCGCCCTACTACTTTCAATATTATAAATAAAAAATTCTTTGCTAAATTTTACTATAAAGTTTGTTATTTATTAAAACTTTAATCCAACTCTAACTTAAA